GATTATCATTACTTCTTCTAATCTCATGTCCCTGATAAGTATAGCCAATGTCTCTTATACCCGTCTATTTTCATACTTTCACTTGGAACTAGATTTGTCATGTATTTTGTTTTCTGAAACTTAATGTTTCTTTTTCTATTGCCTGTTTTAGATGTTCTATCATTTCGAAGGCTTCCTTTAAACTTTCCCTTTTTATCCTAATCCATTTCCTTAAAAGTATATTCCAGAACTGTCGCAAACAATTTCGGAGAGATTGTATCCCCCTGTCCGATGCCTTTTTTAATTTTGTATTTCTCCGTGAAATCGTGAGGTTAAACGGATGCTGTTGCGTTGTTATATATATGTTATATTCGTTATAAAGTATATGTTTCAACAGCTTCGTATATCTATAGTCTACACGGCTCTGTTCCAATGCTTTTCATATTGCAGACAGTTCCAAAGCTTTTCTGAAATCCACAAATATCACAGTCAATGATTTATTATACTCGATACATTTTTCAATCAAAATTTTTATAGCTGTTTCTATAACCCGGCTGCTCTCTCTGTTGATAAAAATCTAATTTTGGAACAGTTTCGTGATGACTTTGGTAAACCATTTGCAAATATTAGACAACAGGCTTATCAGTGTATAACCTCCTTTTCTCTTTAGTAAGATTGCGTTTTTCGAAGTTTTGGGACATTACCTTGGTATAAACCATAATTAAATAACTGGTTTATTACTTCTAGTACTTTCTCCCCTCCTACTTTAATGGCTTCTGTTACTAGTTGGTCATCTCCCGGAGTCTTAGTATTCTTCACTTCTTGTAGGCTACTTTTCATCTGCTTCGGTGTTATTTTTGGCATAAGTTCAGATCCTTGGTTTATTACATTGACTTTTCCAATTTGTGTTTCATCTGTTTCCTCTAGTTGCCTTGTTATGTAGGTCACTCCTCCTGATATTTTCTTGATATCCGATATGTATTTCTTTTGTATAAGCAGACTAAAATTTCCGTCTGAGTATACCATGTGACCTGATTTTAAAAACAGTAGTTGCTGCTCACGTGAGATGTTTATAATTTGAATGTTCTCCTGTATCTCTTATGTCTATGGAAATTTTCATACGTTAATTTTCTATCCCCCCTGTGGTATTTTGGTCTTGAAACTTAACATTTCATTTGATATGGAGGGTTTTTTGGCTTTAGAACACCATACTTGCCAAGCGGGTTGGTGGGTGGGTGGTGGTCATTGAAGAGGAAATAATAGGTTTTTATTAGCAGCTTAAGGTGTGACAATGGTTTTCCCCTTTATGGAGGAGATAAACCAGGGACGGCTTAGGCAGAGGAGCATCCCTGAAGCAGATCTATCACCTATCGGAGTCATAGGTGAATATCTACCCGCTACCCGCCAATCCACCATATCTAATATTTTATCTAGATGGCGACTCTCGGTAGCTTCTTACAATTTTAAAGAAGCCTTGAACTGATATTAATACCTTCAAAGCGTACAATTAAGACTAAGGTCAGGCAATTCACGTGAATTAATTTCAATTGCTGTGAGGACATTTAAAAAAAACAAAAGAAAGTGATATCTGCCGCTAAATCACTGCTCATTTCTCATTTTAATATTTTTTCCTTAAAAGTCTTGAAAGCGCGTAGCCTTAATAATAATTATCATGGAAACTTTCGGATTGGAACAGGGCCTCGTCGGCCGCGGCATGATGTTTTAAAACATGTCAGAAGAAAGGAAGCTTAGAGAACCTTCGTTACGGGAATATTCATCTGACGGGATCCCTAAAAAACAAAAAGGCTTCCGGGTAAAAGCTGCTTGTTTCCGTTAAAAGCTTTCTCTAAGATTTCGCGTCAGTTTGTTCACCAGTAATTTTCATGATATTATTAGATGTAAAAAAGTCCGAAAAGATGAAGAAGCCCCGCGTCTCCTTAATAGTAACGGACCGTAACCGAACGAAAGAGGCGGGATTTTCATTAACGGAACGTTTTATTTAAGTGATTCGGGGAAGGCCGGGACATTGATGGACCGGCGATTGACAAATTTAATCTAGATGTTTCGCTAAATGATGAAAATTGACTAAAGTAAGGGACTCTGACGTGACGTTAGGGATAAATTCCTTTGCCAAGGGTTGTTTTTTGCTTCGTCGGAGTTGGGTGAGAACTGTGACCTTAAAGTCTTGCTCTGTCTCCGGTTTGCCTATATCCACTTGACAGATCTGTATTTTAGATTAATTAACAAAATTGAGTAAAAGTATTATTTATAGTTTCCAATTCTGTGAGATTTGTCATGAAGTATTCTTGCCCGAGATTTTTCGGAGTCACACAAAACGTGGAATTCGGAGAAAATGCAACTTGTCGTGTCTAAGTTTGAAGCACAGCACAGTATTAATTTTAATATAAAACCTTATATCATAGACGAAAGCCAAAAAGTCCATCAAGCGCGAAATAATCACAAACTTTTAGAAGTTAAATTATATTATATTATACCTTCCTTAAGTAACATGGTACAAAATAGTTTTTTTTAAGAAGACATAGTTAAATAAGTAGTAAAGTTTAAATGTACTCTATACACCGTAACGTACCTTTTACTATTGTATTAGAAACTAATAATAACCTCCCATCCTTAGATATTCTTATCAATAGAAAATCAGACCTCATTGTGTGTCATTGTGTTTGCAGAAAACCTACGCACACAGACCGACACGTTAATACATCATCACCATCCGGCCCAAAAATCATCGGTTATCAACTCTCTTGTTTACAGAGCTGTAAAACTCTCAGCCCGAGTCACTGAACCCTTAAAACACCTTAGCTCTGCTCTTCTCTCTAATAATTTCCGCATTAAAGAAATTAAGCGTTCTATCACAAAATACACTTCACCACAACCTTCCAATAGCAATGAGGCCGAAATCAATCCCACACTTGCCACTGTTCTTCCTTACATCCAAAACATCATTGCCCAAATATTAAAAGTTCTTAAGAAATATAACGTCAAAACCAGGTTTACCACTTGTCCAAAAATCTCTCAACATCTTTGATCTGTCAAAAACAAAATTCCATTTGAGCTGCCAGAAGTTTACATTCATATGCGGCAAAGAATACATTGGAGAGACCGGGCGAAATATATCAGCTAGACTCAAGAACATGAAAGAGCCTTAAGACAAGCTGATATCTGCAGTTTTGATGCAGTTTTAGGTTCGATATGTGACCGGATTTTGACCGGAATCTGTTTGAAAAATGGAAGAAAAACCTACTATCAATCCAAGAAAGTGGGTTTTTAAGTAGTAATCTGCAGTTTTAAAGTGGATTTCAGTTCGCTAGATCATGAAAATGCTGGTTTTGACTATAATCTGCTCGAAATCAAGAGCGAAAACCAATTATTTGTCCCAAAAAGAGGGGTTTTAAGTACATATCTGCTTTTCTAAGGTAGATTTGGGTACAGTAAGAGGCGAAAAGCAGATTCTGATTGGGATCTTATCGAAATCGGGAACTATTTGACTCAGAAAGGGGGTTTTACGTCGAAATATAATGGTTTATTAAGGTTATAGTTACTATAAAGCCCGGTTTTGACTAGTATTTGAAAGATATTGACGCGAAAAGGCCACTGGATCAAAAAATTATAGTTTAAGCGGATATCTGCTGTTTTGATGCGGATTTAGGTAAGATATATATCGGATGAGCCGATTTTGACTGGAATCTGTTTGAAATGAGGAAGAAAAAGTTACCATCAATCAAAAAAAATGGGTTTTTGCAGTTGCAGTTCTTACCTCTCCATCTCAGGGTCGTGAAAAAGAAACGCATTAATTAATTAAATTCGTAATTTAATAGTGAGGTAAGACAATGCCTAGGCTAGCTCATTAACAACCGAGAAAAATTAATAAAGTAGAAAAGAAAAAAAATATATATATACTAAACCAAAGCCAGGTTGGAAGGCGGTGAAGGGCACCTCGGTCAGTCCCGGAAGGTGGTAGGTAGGCGCCACGTGATTCGAAAAAGGTACTTATCAACCCGAGGTTCCAACCCGTAAAGGAAATAAACAAGTGAATCACGAACAATAATTTATTTCCTTCAACCTGGTGGTAGGTGTGAGTGTCAAATCTCACCTTCAAGTTTTGGCGGTGCAAAAGAATGTAAGACACTATAATTTAAGGCTATAAGTTCCGCAAACCGTTCTTGAAGAGAACAGTCCACTTAAGCTACCCAAACCTCAAGATGTCCCGAACGTTACACAGCTGTCTGTCACTATCCCGGGAACCAAGCCAAGATGGAATGGTGGCTCAATGAGACAGCCGCAGGTGGGCAGTCTCAGTTAACCCAGCAAAGTCCGTCCGGAAAGCCGGCTGCTCGATAGGGGAAACTCCACAACTAAACATGTACCCAAGAGACAGCATACACTGCAAGACACCAAGCCTGGTCTGGTATTCCGGTGAAAGAAGAAACCACGTGGAAGGTTTGCGGGAAACGGAGCAACAATACGTACAATACCAATTAAAAAAAAAACACTAAAATAAAATCGGCATAAATTGAGGAACACTGATTAGGTGGCGAAATGGTTCCAAAAGGTAACTTACCTCGATTCGAGGGTTTTCTGGAAATGTGGGGCAATGACAATTCTTTTCAAAATCCCTCGTTGAGGAAGATTCCCATTCCAAACTCCAAATAGATCCAAAAGTATGGGAAATCATAAATTAGTGACCAATTTACATATCCCCCTCTTATTGGGGTAGCACTACCGGCTCAAAAAGAAATCGGTCACACAAAAGAAAATCTGCCACAACCCCAAGCTTCAAAAGCTAGCGTACAAAATGCCGGACGATTCAGAGAACCAGTTTTATTAAAAGGCTAAACGGGCACAAAAAATTAGAGGGAAAACGCCACTCTTGCCAACCTAGTCGACGGTACGCCGCCAGTAGAAAGAACAACCGAACTATATCTGTGGTGATGGCCGTATGGCCCGTGCCAAAGAATCGAGGTTGCGTCAACGAGATCGAATTACCCGAACGCTATCTATGGTGGCGACCGGACGGCCAGTCACAGAAAATCGAGGAAGAATAGGTTAAGAAACAATGTTTACTAGGCTCGCCAAGGAATACCGAAGCAATGAAAAGCAAATGCGGTCCCTAGTCTCATAGAGTGACAGATGGTAATGGTTATGACTCCTTCTAATGCGCAACTAATACTCTGTTTTTTTTGCATTAGTATCTCTCAGTAAACCGGTGTCACTTAAGAGAAAACCAAGCGAACAAGGGGCCACGCACACAGCCGTTGCAGCATAAAATATTTATGGTTCGGCAACACAATCGGCCGGGGAGTACAAGTCCGAAACTAAAGGAACCGAGTTTACAAAAGAACGTGTGTTCAAATTGCAAAATCGATATGAACCTAATAAACAAGAATTTTAATGGTTAAGAAGCACTCGCCAAACAGCAAAAGGTGAAGGAAATGGACAGTACAATTAATTCTACAAGGTACTAATAAAATAAACCCGTTACTTCGCAAATGTGCCAGCACTGGTACTTTAAAAATGCTAAATTTTACCATTGAAATATGAAACCGTCACACAGTTTTAATGTATTTTCAATTTCAGTCTGGTAAGTTATGAAAATGCAAGTTTTGACTATAATCTGCCTGAAATCAAGAGCAAAAACCAATTATTTCTCACACATCTCAGCACATATCTGCATTTCCAAGTTAGCTTTCGGGGCAACAAGAGGCAAAAAGCAGATTCTGACTGGGATCTTATCGAAATCGGCAACTATTTGACTCAGAAAGGGGGTTTTATGTCGATATCTAATGGTTCATTACGGTTTTAGCTGCTATGAAACAAATAAACTCATCAGCAGTGGCCGAACACAAACCCAAAAATTGTATTCGTTAAAACTGAAATTCTTGCATGTAATCAGTTCGTCTACCAACGAAAAATTCGAGAGTCTATAGAAATCTATAAACAACCTAACAATCTTAACCGCGACTCACGTGTTTACCTGTCACCAACATGGGAATCAGTTATCCGAGACGATGTTTACGCCCCTCATTTAGCTCCGCCCCCTCAAACGATATATAAGCAGGTACAGAGGAAAACGCGAGCCAGTTTCAGTTAAGCTCTGAAGAAGCCAACAGGATGATTGACGGAACGTTAGCAAGTCGGACTCAGCAAAAATCGACGGAGGAATAATCCAAAAGTTTTATAAAAAGTATTGCAGTAGCGTGTGGAAGTTTCTTTGAAAAATTAGATGCTTTTTACTGTTTGCTAGTGTTAAACGGTTAAATCTTATGCAAAATTATTTTTACCACGCACATAATAACTTGTGGGTGTATAAGGAAGAAATTTGTACCCGAGAACATATCCGAAAAATAAACTTTTTTGATTTAACGATTTTTTTCCCAGTATCGCAATGCATTTCGGCTTTTATGTCTTTTAGGCTTGTAAACCCGTCTCGTTCTTTAATAAACATAACATTCTAAACGCAAAAAATCACATTTCCACCGTGCGACGAATTAAAATCGTCCATCACCGTAATGAAGATAGATATATTCGGTGCAGGATAAATAACGGGGTAGATTTTTAACAAGTTCGTTGGTTTCACCGCTGCCGCGATTTGCGGTTAAAGCTGGATATAAATGGGCGGTTCTTTGCGTTATATCCCGCCGCCCCGCCCGCTCCCACGGGTGTAATTACGATATAAATCGATTCTAACTTCTGTTGACTTTAAGCACGGTTCGCGAACACCATTAAGCTTAATGTATATAAAATAGAAGCTTTAATGAATTAAATATTATTTTTCTACTCCGTATCTCCAATTAAGGGCCGATCAAGCAAAATGAGACGTCAACTTAGTCCAAACGCTTTCTCGAGTCACTTCTGTACCTTGTACCTTAGTCACCGATTTGGCAGCGATCGGATGGTGAATGACATTCGTGCTGTTTTGCAAAGATCTATTAAAAAACTAATGGTCGTTGAAAAGTATAGTGTAGAACATATTGATAAACTTCATCGGACAATTGTTTATTAAAAACACGCTCATTCCAAAACAAACTTGTGACTAAAGCAGCGTTTAACCTACACTAACATCCAAAATATTAACCAGTTTTACGAATGTCAGCTCGAGTGTCCCAAAATAACGCTTTAAAACTTTTGTATCTGTCTCATAAATTGCGTGGTGTCTACATATTTGTACCTAAGATCATTTTGTTACTTTATTTACTTGCATAAAATATACTAAATAATCACTTAGGAATTCAAAAAATTTAATTTAATTTATTATTATTTTTTAATTTTATTTATCCAAATATACTCCTTCAACCAATATTTTTTCTTTCTTGAAATAAGATTTTAATGTTTTTTTTTTATATTTTTGTGACAACAAGCCTGGCCTACTTTGTACGAACAACACATTTACTGAATTAAAAAAGTACAGTTATATTTTCCTAAAATATGCAGTCATAAACACTGGTAAGACAATAATACACCATAGGGTAACTCCAGCAAACACTTTGAAATGGAAGATTTCTATTTGACTCTGAATTCATTTGCAAGTTGTTCGATATAGTCATTTTTTGATTGCTAATTCTGCAATGTATTGAGCTAATCTATCAATGTGATGTAATCATGCGCCTTGACGAGTTTTTGCGGGCACCCATAACAGATTCACTTCGTTCTGACTTTTTATCTCGTTTAATGCGTCATAACAATCCAAAACTAACTTGGATGTTATCGAGGGGAATTAGATGCAACATTATTAAAAAACAGACTCATGCTTTATGCAAATTTTCATGTTAGAAATTATGCTTGCAATGACCCTTTTGATAGGGCGCTTAAATTCTTTAATAGGCACTTTGATGTAAATCTTTTTTAATTTAAGTCCAAGTGAATTTAAAATTATTATATATAAATAATTTTAGAATAAGCATTACTGCTCAATATTCATTGTTATTAATTTATTTTTTAATTCTAAATAATAATCAAAAAATATACATTAGTTGTCGCATTTATATATTATTATATATAAATAATTTTAGAATAAGCATTATTGCTCAATATTCATTGTTATTAATTTATTTTTTAATTCTAAATAATAATCAAAAAATATACATTAGTTGTCGCAGAATAATAACATCAAGTTAACAATATTTGTTATTACAGAAATATACCGTATTTATAAAAGCATATTTGTATATTTTATTGATGTAATAACTCCATAAATGGTTATTTTTATCCAGAACCTTGGAAAATTGCTAAAGTTTATCCTATTCTCAAAAAAATTGTGCGTAGTTGAAAACTACCGACCTATTTCGATCTTGTCCAATTTCTCGAAAATAATGGAGACTATATTACATACATTTATTTTAGCTCAACTTAAAAATAAACTATCTACGCAACCACATGGTTTTTATGCGAAAATATCATGTATCACCAACTTATGTTCTCTGTCTTCTTATGTCTGTGGCTCCCTGAATAAGCAAGGTCAAGTTGCGTTTGAAGCGTTTGACCAGATGGATCATCACTTATCGATTGGAAAAGCATCTCAATTTTGAGATCCTACCTGGTGAATCGTCGACAGTTCGTTGAGGGGATAATATCTGTTCCTTTTGTTCCAACTTCTGGTGTGCCTCAAAGTTCTAACCCTGGACCACTTCTTTTCAATATATTTGATCATCTGCACTTGCTCTATGACTCTCCAGGACAACATTAATATTGTCAATCAGTGGTGTACTAAAAATAAATTGTATCTTAACATCAGCAAGTGTAATGCGGTTTCTTACCACCGCATAAAAACTTCTATAATCTCTAATTACAGTATGGATGGCACTATCTTGACTAGACTTGCCACTGTAAAGGATCCGGAGATCTTGTTTGACCAGACGTGACGTTCTCTTTTGTACCTCACATTACTAAAATGGTTTCCAGTGCACTCCAAATTTTATGATTCGTAATAAGAAATTGTAGACTTTTTGTAGCTTAGCTACGGTTAAATTGTTATTTAACTGTTACGTTAGGTTCAAGCTTGACGATAGCTGGCTGGTATGGTCACCAATATATCACTGCCACGCTCAGTTCATTGAGGGTGTACAGAGAAGGTTACTAAAGTGTTCAGGGAGGACAGTTACTATCCTGAGAGGAGATTTGATCACGATATTCTGCTGGGAAGGTTCACTGTACTGCCTCTGAGCATGCGCAGAGACTTGCAATCTGTTTAATTTCTCTACAATTCATCGCGGAGTCGATTATCCGTTTCTTCTGGAACAATTACGTTTTAACTTGCCGCGGCCGGAAGGGAGAAATCAAGCAACTTTCTTACAGCAGTTAAACATATTTACCGTCAACAGACTCTCGTCGCACTGCGATTTATATTATGATGTCTCCAGGCGATACTTAGGCAACTTGATTTGGCATTGGGTGATCCGTACTAGCAATACTGTCCTTTCCTTTTTGTCTTTAGTTATAAGATTAGTACATTTCAGATTAGTTTTTACGTCGCCTGTGTATATATATGTAAGACGCATTTTTTTTAAGCTACCCTATAAAATTTTTTTACGTGCGACGCAATAAGCAACCACTTGTCAGCCAGATGTTTTCTTAAAAACCGCATTTCTCACCCCTAGCTCTGTCAGAATATCGATTAGTAGAAGGGCGTCATTTATAATAAACATACTTTTGGGGTGCAGTAACATTTTAACAAATATATTTCCGGCATTACTCGGTTAACCGTGCATTCGAGTGGTGCGGGCTATTGTTTGCATTCCGTGAAATTGCGGATACTTAAAGGTGAGTAGAGTATTGGTCAAAATACCAAACTACCAAATGATTTATTTATTGATCGGTTTCATTTTTAATTTATAAAATATTCCCAAGTAATTTAGTTAAATACTAGTGTGTTCTCCCTTTGAACTCTTTTAACCATTGTTACTTTGCTTGTTGAAAGTCGAGGCTACTGTCGAATGTCTCTGCCCTTCAGTCCCTGTGTGGCTATTTGCGACAGGATACTTCTCGTGACTCTTCCCTTAGTATCCATTGCACGATCGGAATAACCAGCACTAGTGATTGAAAGAGGTACTAAGCGTGGTTCTGCCCTTAGTACCAATATGCTGATGTGTGTTCTGCCCTTCAGTATAATATGACCTGTTGTTTAATGCTCTGTCGCAGAGACACGCGACAGTGCCGTTGTGGTTATTCTGCCTTTAGTATCGATTGCACGACCGGAATAACCAGCACTAGTGATTGAAATAGGTACTATGTGTGTCCTGCCCTTAGTACCAGCCTAAACTCAGTTCCAGATTTTATGCAAGATATATCTGTTATCTGTGATTTCTGGTGATATTGAGTAAAATTAAGTTTGTTTTAGTAATCTTAATAATTTTTGGTACTCAGGATATTTTTTAGTTTCAGATGTGAACCCGTGTCACCTCGCTGATGGCCCAATCACGTTTAGGCCCAAAAAAACTTAATAATTATTCATTATATCGTATATCGTATTATACATTTTCAAATTAAAATTTTATTGCTATGTTTACCCTCTCTCATATCACATTTCCTGTAATTGGGTCATGTTACCTGTTGGAAATAAAGTGCTATTATTATTATTATTATTGTTTGTAAATACACATACAAAATGGTCATCGTAAAAAATTGTAAAAATATCACAAATACTGAGTTCACAGAAGGAAAAACGATTGAAACGATTTCACAAAGTACCTACCCATTAACTAAGTACTTACATTCAAATAAAACAATATAAACAATCTCTCATTATACAACTAGTGTGTCCAAGAAAAGAACCATTGTTACAGAATTACTACCCGTCTCACCCTAAATGAAATTTTCCTCACAGTTCGATAGATGGAGTTTATTGTTTATTTTGTGGAGGCCATTGTCAATCGCATTCCATTCATTACCGTCTTGCGTCATCGGCATGCTCAAACTAGAGTCAAAAAGATGCAAGTTGGTAAAGGTTTATAATTACGAACAGTCACAAACCCGATCGCTCGATCCGGAACGCAAAAACTTATGTCCCCGACAAACTTCGTCGCATTTATAGTTCACCAATAACTCCGAAAGACTCAATTTACGTATAGCAACAAACTGCCAGTTGCGTTTGCATGTTTGTACGCCCCGACGAACTTCAAAGTCGGCTTTCCGTTGATTGATGTCGGCGAGTTAAAGCTAAAGCCGAAACCAAGAGCCGTAATCCATTATCTAGTGTTAGGGAGTCGTTGGCTCCACGGTAGTTTGGCACAATTTATATTATAAACCTACAATGCTTTGACGTTTACCGCGGATTGTGGATACCTTTCATCCGTGTGTTCGAGGAAAAAATCTCGTGGTTTGCGATTACTTTGACCCACAACAGAGTTACTAATCGGGAATATCGATCCTTGCATCATTTTAATACAAAATGCGGCGCACCGGTCTAATTAGAATCGACTGGATCTATGTAGGTTTGTAAGGCGGCATCTACATCAAAACTCGCGCTGAAAATGTGCTTCAAAATTGTCTGAATCCCATGTTTCATAGTTTTTCATTTACGGCTAACAATTTATCCACGAAAACACCAATTTTAAGGGTCTTCTAGGTTTTTTACCCATTAAAGACATGCCCTGTATATTATCGAAAAAGTTGCTATGGTTGGGGGTAGCAGCCCTGGATCTCCCACGTTTCCTGATCCATGGAGTTTTCCATTTTTTCCAATAGCGTAAATGGTTTTCAAGAATATATATTTATTATGCAGTGGATAGTAATACCAAATGAACGTCATAGCGTCCAAGCAAAGTGCAAAGAATAGTGATATTCATATATTTTTTCAAATATCTCGAGCAGCATACGAAAACCGTAAATAAAAAAATTGTTTCCTCGTTCTAAAATTTTGCCGATCGGTTGAATAGTTTTTGAGAAAATCATGTTTTTCTGCAAGCAAAAACAACCAAAAAACTTTTTCAAAAATAAATAAAAGTCTTGGTGATATTTCTCAATTTCTACTGTTCAGATGTTAGGTCACTTAATCACATTAAATTTTTGATATAGCACGAAATATCCGGAACACTCTTTACAATAGGTCAAAAACCTTAAATACAAAAATTTTAGTAGTTACCGAGACATAAAATTTTTATACGAGCATAGATACTTCCGAAAAATTCAATTTTATCTATTTTCGAAAGCAACTAGGAGCAGGCAGTCAAAGTTTGCTTCAATAAACTGATAATGGTTAAAGCTCTCGTCTGGGTATGCTACTAAATAAATAAATAATAACATAGCAGTCCGTGGTATTCAATTGCTACACAAACACAAAAACTGACTCATTTATACAAGTCGGACGAAACTCAATCTCTTAGTAAATCAAAGGACAATTTCGTAAATTGCAATAGGTACCAATGAACGTCCAACTTTTACCGAAATCAAATAAAGAAAAAATTAAACATAATGGACCCAGACATCGAACTAATTTTCCAGGACCTTTTACCGACGATATCGATATCGATATAATAATAATTAAGGATTATAACAATTTTCCTATTTAAACGACTGCAAGCTGTCCAAATATGAATAAAATTAAATACAAAAAAAATAAATTTTGAGCCTTTCATTCATTCAGCCTTTCATTTATGCAGATCTGAATATTTATTTATAAACTGCAAGCAAAAATTATTGTATTGAATTTGTTTCAACCTAAGTCTTGTTTATAATGATAGTAACGAATGAACTTTTTAGACTGCTGATTTCTTTCGAAGACGAGAATTTGCAGGCATCGTGAAGAACGTCTCCATTTAAAACCAAACCATAGTGGTTGGAACCGTATGATAAAATCGTTTGTATTGAAAGTGCTTCACGCTCTACAATCGCAATTCCGCCGAATTTCCTGCTAGTTTCAAGAAAATAAATTCCATGTGATTACGTTTTCAAATTAGGGCGGTGCTATAGTAGGATATAGCACACTTCGAGCGAGATTCGATGGAAACTCAATTTTTCATATACTGAAAGTTGAAATTG